TTAACTGACTGAGCCAGCCAGACGTCGCGCCCCCCATTTCACAATTCTTAAATACAACTGAAATTTGCTTGTCAGAGTTTTAAGTGGCCTTCTGGATGTTTCTTAGATGACAGCCCTTAATCTCGCACGTATTTCTTGCAGTCTGGTTTATCTTCTCATTCTCTTGACGTGGTCTTGCCCAGATTGGAAGTTTGCAGCTCTGATGAAGTCCAGCGCAGCACTTGTTTCTTCCAAGGGTCATGCCTCTGGTGTCGTATCTAAAAAGACATCGTCACACCCAAGACGGATGCGAACCCTTGAAATTGCTCCTCACCGTCCTTTTTTACCCATCCTGTGTGTTGTGTGTGTGTGTGACTCTGGTTGTCAGGTCGGCCCCGAGCCTGTCCTTGTTCTGTGGGCACCAGATCCCTGCCTTGTGACCTGGGGCTGTGTGTAGCTTGGGGTTTTTTTCCTTTCAGTCTTCTGTCTTCCTTCCTCCCTGTTGGTGACTGTTTACTTTTTTTTTTTTAAAGATTTTATTTACCCATTTGACAGAGACGCAGGGGGAGTGGGACCACGACCCAAGCCGAAGGCAGACGCCCAATGACTAAGCCACCCAGGCGCCCCTGTTGGTGACTTTTTCAAGGGAGCTAGGGCACAGATGTTCTAGGTCCTCCAGATACCAGCTGCCACACCGTGCCACCTGCATGCGGGTGGCAGAGCCAGTTCCCTTGCTCTAGAAAGGTCCCTTCCCTGCAGAGCTGAGGAAGAACATGAGGTCCGACTCCACCCACACTTGCGTTGGCTTCCAGGACTCATCGCCCCTTTTTCCTTTTTGTCTTTGTGGGTCGGGCATCTCTTCATTAGTGACTTGGCAGAACTGACATTGAAAGTGTGTGTTCCCCAGAGAATTTTTCATCCTCTGTATGTATGAAGAAAATTGGCTGTCTGCACAAAAAGGAAATGTTATAGTAAGGATTATTTTACATTTTAATTTTTTGAATAGGTAATATTGCTCAGAACCAAAAGAATAAAAACGTGTCAAAGATGCACTGAAGCAGGGTGCCCAGCTGGCTCAGTCGGTGGAGCGTGCGACTCTTGATCTGAGGGTTGTGAGTTCGGGCCCCATGTTGGGCGTAGCGATGACTTAAGATCTTTAACGACATCCTGAAACAAGTGCCCTGAAGCCAGTATGAAGGCCTCGGCTGGGCATGCCTGGGGCTGCTGGAGCATCAAAGCCACCAAGTAAAACAGGAGTGCCACGCCTCGTCCATACCTGGGGACGGTGCTGACTGACCGCTGTCAGAATGACCAGGCAGACAGTGATCTGGCCAGGGTGTGTTGGCTGCTGAAACCAGAGGGGGTGGGAGTGTGTGTGTGCTCACGGGTAATGAGAGCCAAAGCAGTGGAGACCTGGTGACACCACCAGAGCCTGTCCTCAGAGGTGAAGTGGGGCGGGCCTGCGTCTTGTCCATGCTCCAAAGCCTAGGGAGCTCCTGACCGCTCCCGGGGGACAGGTGTGTGGGCAGCAGGGCTCCCTCCCGGGCTCAGGAGCGCTCGGTCTGTGCCTGCGTGGAACACGCTTCTGGGGACGCAGACCAGCCTCTTTTCCTGAAGGCTGCCGCACACCCTGCTGCTTGGCTTTCGCTCAGTGCTGAAAACCCAGATTCCTGGGCAGTCTCCTTTTGAGAAAGGGACCATTTCTCCCAAGTCCCTGTTGGGAAAGGAAACCCGGAAGAATGAAAATACTCCTGTGCCCTGGGGGGTGGGGGGCAGGGAGCTGTGGATGGCACACGGCTCCCCCTGTGGCAGGGCCCCCTGACGTGGGCCCGGGTGTCTGCTCTGAACGAGGGGACCTTGTGTGGCCTAGGGGCTGCCCCCTCGCTGGGGTGGAAGTGCCCACCTCATGGGCACCCCCTCGGACTTCCATGGCTGGTGTGCTGCCCAAGGGCCCCGGTGAGGTCTAGCTCCAGGTCCTGCCTGGGGGTGAGTGCTAAGCTCAGCACATCGGTGAAGGTCGGTCTGGCCTGTGTCACTGGGGGGATGGGTGTTCCTAGAGACCTTGCATTCATGCAAAGCCACGGCTGTCGGGTGCTCAGCATTCCATCCGCACGGGTCGCGTGTCGTACATCATGGCCAGGGCAGGTCGAGCAGCCGTGGGCGTCACTTCCTCAGGTGACCGCAGCCCCCGACTCCAGTCACCCCTGTCCTGAGCTTCCCAGACGCTCCTTCTAAGGGCAAGACTCCGTTTCTGCTGCGTGGGAACCAGGTTTCATCCGCTTCTGCCCTGTGAGCTCTCAGGAGTCAGGCCTGTCCATCCGCCGGGGCTGGAGGGAGGGCGCCAAGCTGCTGCTGTGCTGCTGGCGCTGGCAGCCCAGGCAGAGACTGGGGGACTGCTGTCTCTACAGGTTTCTCTGGCCAGTGTTGCTCCCTCCCGTCTACAGCATGGGAAATATCTTCGCAAACCTCTTCAAGGGCCTCTTTGGCAAAAAAGAAATGCGCATTCTCATGGTGGGCCTGGATGCTGCGGGGAAGACCACCATCCTGTACAAACTGAAGCTGGGAGAGATCGTGACCACCATTCCCACCATAGGTGAGGAGCGTGGGCTGCAGGGGCGGGCCGGGGGCCGGAGGGGGCTCTGGGCCAGGCTCACCCGGGTCGCGCTGTCACAGGCTTCAACGTGGAGACCGTGGAGTACAAGAACATCAGCTTCACTGTGTGGGACGTGGGCGGCCAGGACAAGATCCGGCCTCTGTGGCGTCACTACTTCCAGAACACACAAGGTGAGCGGCGGGGCGGTGGCCCGCGGCAGGGGTGGGGGAGCCCGCGGCAGCTGTCCTAATGCCCGCGGCTCCGCAGGTCTCATCTTCGTGGTGGACAGCAACGACAGAGAGCGTGTGAACGAGGCCCGTGAGGAGCTCATGAGGATGCTGGCGGAGGACGAGCTCAGGGATGCTGTCCTGCTGGTGTTCGCCAACAAGCAGGTACACGTGCACACGGGACCCAGCCGCCCGGTGCTGGCGGGCGGGGGGCGCGGGTGGGCCTTGCAGTGTGCTGACCCGAGGCCGCCGGGCCTGTCCCCCCAGGACCTCCCCAACGCCATGAACGCGGCTGAGATCACGGACAAGCTGGGTCTGCACTCCCTGCGCCACAGGAACTGGTACATTCAGGCCACCTGTGCCACCAGCGGGGACGGGCTGTATGAGGGACTGGACTGGCTGTCCAATCAGCTCCGGAACCAGAAGTGAGCCGCGTCCCCCCCCCTCCTTCCACCCTGCTTTACTCTCATGTGGTGTGAGTGCCAGAAGCTGTCTCCATGGTCGGTCACAGTGTGCTTCACCATGCTGTAAATGTGCAGACGCAGCCTGCAGCCGGGTTTTTATTTAATGTAAATAGTTTCTGTTCCCAACGAGGCAGTTTCTGGTACTCCTATGCAATATTACTCAGCTTTTTTTATTGTAAAAAGAGAATCAACCCACTGTTCAATACTGAGAAGGGATGTGAGGCACGCGGGGCCTCCGGGAGTCGCTGTGTCCAACCAGCCTGGCGCGCCTCCTCTGGGCCTTAGATCTGTGTTGAGATCCATTTTGGCGGTTGGTTTTTAACCTAACTCAGTGCATTTTTAAAATCGTTGCAAACATAAGATAAGGAGAACACGTGAACACACAGAAGGGAGAAGCGTGCCGAGTGTCGGTTCTGCAGCGGCGGCCAGGGTCTAGTCCACCAGTGGTCCGTTTCCCGTCGGGAACGTGAGACGGGGCAGAACCAGCCACGGTCCGTTCTGCATGGTCACGATAGGGCCCCTGTGACTCGCTCTGTCGCGGGTCATCCCGCATCCCCTTTGTGCTTGTACTTGTGCTCACACGGCCGCCCAGGAGACAGGCCGGGGGCTGCAGCCACCGCTCACGGACCCCTCGGAGGGACCCCGGCCTTCCCTTGGGTCCGCGTGGGCGCTCTGGCCTGCTCCGGGCTGCCTGGGGTCTCACCAGCAGGAGTGCGGGCGGGCGGGCCAGTCACCCTAGAGCCTCAGCCCCCGGAGCCCCTGTCTACATGTGCTTTCACTCCCTCAGCCTGCAAGGGTCGGATCTGCCATCGAAACGACGACCTCTACTGTTTTCTTTTGTATTTTGATAAACACTGAAGAAGCTGGAGCTGTTAAACTTTATCTTGGGGAAATCCTCAGAACTGGTTTATTTGGTGTCGTGGAACCTCTTACTGCTTTCAATACACGATTAGTAATCAACTGTTTTGTATACTCGTTTTCAGTTTTCATTTCGACAAACAAGCACTGTAATTATAGCTACTAGAATAAAATCTCTTAACTATTTCACGGCTTTCCAGTGCTTGGGTGCCAGTGACCCACGGTTTGCCTCTGGGCACGGAAGGCCCCCGCCTAGGGTAGGGGCCCGGCCCATGCGGCTAGCAGCTGTGGCTGTGGCCCAGTGCCCCGTCTGGGTCCATCCTGGCAGGGCCAGCCTCGGGGCTCCCCGCACGCACCCGCCGCAGTGCACGCGTGCGCACACGCACGCACCCAGCCGGCCAACGCCCGCGCAGCAGGAACCCCCCGGCCAAGCCCCGAGCCGTGCCACAGGCCCCTTCCTGCCCCTTGGAGGCCAGCCCGCCAGCCCCGTATGGCTGTGGGGAGCTGGAGATGCGCCCGGCAGAGGCCTCGCCCACCTCCACTAAGAGGAGGAAAAACCAGGGTCAGGGTCGGAGTCGGGAAGACAGAATCGCCCTCGTAGTTAGGTGTCCAGCCCGGGCCTCGTTCTCACTGCAGTTGGTGAGAAGACGTCAGTGTGCTGGCTGGCTCGGTGCACATCTCCCTGCAGAGGCTGCAGAGGCGGAGGGAGGCCGGGTGGGAGGAGCTGTGCCCCCAGCCCACCCTCCCCCACCCAGGAGAAGCAGCGGCAGCGCAGGGACAAGTTTGTGCCCCCTGTGCTCTGGGGAAGTCCCCCGCCCAACAGTCTCGGGCGGTGGTGCTGGAACACGTGGCCACCCCCCTCCCTGGAGTAGGAAGTACTTGCCCTTTAAAATAAGTTTATTTAAGTACAAAGAGAGAGAGAAAAATAGCGGCTGTGCGGGGCCTTCCCAGGTCAGGGCGCCTTCCCCGGCGCGGGGCGGGCCCGGCAGGTGGCACGCCCTCCGGGAGCTGGCGGAGGGGCCGGGGTCAGTCACCGTGGTGCGGGCGCTGCCTCTTGGAGCAGGACCGGGAGTCGCCGTCCGAGTCCGAGCCGTGCCTGCGGCGCGCGGACCTGGGGGGGCCGGGGACACGGCGTCCGTGGGAGGCTGCCCCGCCCCACCCCGCGACCGCCCACGGCAGAGGCCCACCTACCCCGCAGAGGCGGGGGGCAGCGGCGAGGTCCCCCTGCTCCGGTGCGCCTTGTCTTTCCTCTTCTCTTTCTTGTGCTTCTGCTTCTTCTTCTTCTTCTTCTTCTTCTCCTTCCTGCTCCTCCTGTGGCTCTCGGGGCTGTGGGACAGCGTCTCCCCATGTACCGACCGCACGTGCCCGTGGTCGGCACGCACAGCCTGCCTGCCGCTCCCAGGCCTCCGGCCACCTTCCGCCAGCGGGCGACCCCGGCACCCATCTGCTGCGGGCTGTCAGAAGCCGGGGGGGGGGGTCCCCAGCAGGCAGGCGGGGCGCCGGGAGGCCCGGCCCGGGGGGGGGGGGGGGAGCCCTTACCCGGACTCGGCCTTCTCCTCCTCCGACCGAGGCTTCTTCCTGGCCGAGGCTGCGGAGGGGCCCGGCCGACCGCCCTCCGCGCTCTCCACCCGATGGTGCTGCGGGGGGGAAGGCGGGCTGGGCTGGGCTGGCCTGGGCTGGGCGCGCCCCGGGACGCCCGCGGGAAGGGCCCGGAAGCCGGGAAAACGCACTGGGGGCCCGGCGCGGGCGTGCTAAGGGCAGTTACCGTGAACACCGACAGCCCCAGCTTGGCGGCCTCCTTGTCTTCTCGGGACAGGGCCACTCGGCCTGCGGAGCCGCTGCGGGAAGGCGGGTGAGAAGCCCCACGATGAGAACGCCGCGGCCGCCTCCCCCGCCGAGTGCCGCTGCCACGCGCGGTGCGGGCACCACCCACCGCGTCGCCACGCACCTGGAGCTCCCCAGGCCCAGCAGCCGGTCCACTCCCTTCTCCTCGTGGTCTCCTCCTTCCCGCTTACACACCTCCACGAAGTCCTGTGCGGGAGGCACGCGGGCGCTCGCAGCCGCTGCACCCCCGCCTCGCCCTCGCCGCCCCCCGGAAGGGCCCCCTCACCTCCTTGCTCAGGCCGGTGGGCTGCTTCCTCACGTTCTTGTAGCCTCTGCGGGGGCCGCGTGCGCGCTTCAGGGAGCGGCCGGCCTGGCCCGGGCCCCCGCCCCTCCGTCCCCTCCGCGCCCCCCACCCAGCGCGCCCCCGACCCCGCGGGGCGCACTCACAGCGCCGCCATGAGCGCCTCCTGCTCCGCCTGCCGCACGGCCGCCAGCTCCTCTTCCCGGCTCAGGCCCGCGCCGTCCGCCCGGCCCTTGGCGTACCAGGTGAGGTCGCGGCCCTTCTGCCAGCGGCCCACCGGGGCCATCAGCGAGTTGCCTGCGGGGGTGCAGCGCCCGGCGCTCGGCCCGCGAGGTCGGCCGACTCCCGCGTCCGCCCGGGTCCCGCACCTGCGATACCCCGCGCCCCCGTTCCCCGCACCTACGATACCCCGCGCCCCCGTTCCCCGCACCCGCGGATCTCCCGCGCCCCCGTTCCCCGCACCGGCGATACCCCGCACCCCCGGACCCCGCACCCGCGGATCTCCCGCGCCCCCGTTCCCCGCACCCGCGG